CCCCAAAACCCCAAAACCCCAAAACCCCGAGAGGAAAAAACTGTGACTATTAGTAAAATAGTTAAAATAGCATATCTTATTAAATTAATTAAGGAATCAAATAATGAAATTTCATAAATTCACAAAATCAAGTTTTAGTTAGGTTAATCATTATCTTAATTAGCTGATTGTCATATCTATCTGCTTAATTCTAATTGAAGAGAAAGTTTTATCAAAAGAAGTCTATTGTAAGGATAGGGTAATTATTGTAGGTGCAGGAATATCAGGATTAGCAGCTGGCTAGAAATTGTAAAATGCTGGCTGTGATGTCACAATACTTGAAGCTTCATTGAGAGTTGGAGGAAGGATTTAAAGCGTAATGATTGGTAAAGATGTGATGATAGATCTAGGAGCATCATGGATAGGTGGTACTGGTAAAGGTACTTAAAGCAAGAGTAAATGGGATGACTAATACAATCCAATTTATCAGATAGCTTTAAACAATAACATTACTACGATCGCTTCTTTAGATTTTGATGAGGGGGCAAATCAAGTGTTCTACACTTAAAAAATTGGAGAATTAGACATATGCTAGAATGATCTCAACTAATACTTTGAAATTTTTAAAGATCATCTCCGAAGCCATTTACCTTTGGCTTCTGACTAAACATCGCTAGAGGATATCTTTCAAGATTTTACTGTGAAAGATGAAAAATACAATTAAAAATTTCTTAAAAATTTTACTTAGAGCTTCATTTATGCTTTCAAAAATGCTGCTGATTCAGACTAGCTCTCAGCAAGATATGTGGTAAGTAAGTAGAAATTTGTTGGAAAGGATCATGTCATAAAGGGTGGATTTTAATAGATAACAGATGAACTTTCTAAGGAGTTAAAAGTATTACGAAATAAATAAGTGGTAGAAGTAGATTATCTAAATGAACTAATCACTGTCAAAACATCTGATGGAGAGATTTTCTCAGCAGACAAAGTCATAGTGTCTGTACCCCTAGGTATATTAAAAAGCAAGGAGATTCATTTTAATCCACCATTGAGCTTGAGTAAATAAGAATCGATTGAAAGACTAGGCTCTGGCATTATGGATAAATTATTTCTGGAGTTTGATAAAGTTTTTTGGGATTAAGATTCTGTTTGGTTTAACTATATTTCTGACAGTGATTATAAGTGGATTATAACAGCTAATCTATTCAAATATACCGATAAACCTATCCTAATGATGTTCAATATTGGAAGGGACGCCATAGCTTTTTCAGAATAATCAGATGAGAATGTATTAGCTTCAGCTATGTAAACACTGAGGATTCTCTATCCAAATGCGCCTAACTATGTCAATTACAAAAGGACAAATTGGGGTCATGATAAGTTCACTAAGATGGCCTTTTCCTACATGTAAGTTGGTTCAAATTCCCAAGATCCCATTAATATTGCTGCAAGCATAGATAAGAAAGTTTATTTTGCTGGAGAGCATACTACTTTTGATTTCTTAGGAACTGCTCATGGAGCATATATATCTGGAATGGATGCAGCTTAGGCTATTTTAGATGATTAGTGAAAAATAGACAAGAATAATTGATATGATTCTATTTTTCAAAGTTTTATCTATTATTCATTTTAACAATATGGTTTCAAATGCAATTTGTTGATCTATAAAGGGCTATTGATTTCAGATATTTCATTGATTTAAAGTATTGTTTATTAAGATTTTTCAAAAACAGAAATGCTAATTATAATATATTTATAACTTTTTTTAGTTTTAAATTCAATTTTTAGGGGTTTTGGGGTTTTGGGG